ATGATAAACGGCTGATTCAGAATACGTGAGGGCAGCCTTTACAAAGTAAGCTAATCTTACTTCTAGCGGCATTAGAGCCTACCTGCTGCTTGAATGTCCCGTAGTCGAACTCCTCTCTGATGCGCTTCATTGAAAAGGAGCACACGGCGCTCATTCGAACGTCAGAATCTGGAGTGGAGAACACAGCGTAGACGCGATGATCATTTGCGGACGTCGTTATCGGGTCGGAAACCGCTTCTGTAAGAGAGACAATAAGGAGTTGAGTTGGGTGCTCGTGTTCAAATTTTTCCTGGAGTCTCTTTCATGCAGAACCAATGTCTCCGTTCAGAGAACTCTTAAATCTTCAAATTACTACTCTTTACGCTCTACAAAATAATGGTCTGCTATGTATTTTGTAGCCAAGTGGTGATTCGGCCAGTGTAAAAGAGCATAGGTAGCAGGGTATAGCATCGTGATGCGCGAAATGGCGGTCTCAGTACGACCCCTACTCCCAAATTTCCTCATCTGGTTTGACGCCATTCCTTATCCAAAGTACCATCCTCCTGCATTTGCCATCTTCCTAATACTTTTTCCCTTTGTTTCAAGAATGTTCCAGTTCACCTCCCCCTCCCCTCCCCCTTCCTAAAACCGGGATCTAGCGACAGGGGGGAGGGTCTGTCTTCACCACTAATTCAATTAATTTCCACTGCCAGAAATAGTAGTTATTACAGCAGTTCTGTAGCACCCCCCACTATATTCTTGCGTCTCGGAGATTTTTTTCTCAAGAGAAATACGACTCCTTTCTCAGTGATCTAATACTCTCTACCCTTATTCCGATGGGATTCCGATGTGCCATGATAGGTAGTCGCGTTCGCTCGCTCAAGGAACTTGGTCTCTGCCAGCCAAACGTCTTGCAAGAATAAACTCACTGAGTTCATTAAAGTAGAAGGGTGTTGCTGACGGCAAGGAGCAGTTCAGCCGTGCTTTCACGAACGACGTCCATCGCTCATTAGCTGGTCTAGCGCCACCTTTGTCGTTACGGCAAACCCGTGCCACACGAGCGTAGATCTGAAAGGACAGGGATACAGTGTGGCTTACTACTGGTAATAAGCCAGGTAGTAAGCCAGTGACCAGACTACGGCTAAGACCTACTTGTCGCTCTTCATTATTATCCATGGCCTCTGCGGCTCGTTCCCTATACCAGTAATAGACATGTTCCTTGTAGACAAACGAGCCGACGAAGTTTGGAGCTGCAAATGTCCCGTACTAATGTGTTACTTCACAAAAGCTCGTCCTTTAGATGAACTCACAGTCTAGCACTCTGGCGTCGTCACGCTGTGTCCGAATACCGTTATCGCGATCATTTTCACCGATTCGTTTACGATATATTAAGGGGTCATTGCCTACAAAATCTGATACGGTTCCCGTGTAGATCTCATTCGTCTCTGGTAGATACACCACGGTCGAGTTATCACGTGGATCATACGGCGATATGCCCTGGAACGATTCGCAATAAGGTTTTCTCAAGGTATTGTAGAGAGAACGCTATAACGTACCATTCCGTCAAATTGCCGAACGTTTTTCAACGTGCCATCAGTGCTCGAATACACGTATTCTCTGCACTTCGGTGAGAACGCGTGCGTTCCACAAATCAACGCGCTGTTAACACGATGACTGGCGGCGCCAATACTTCGGATATAATTTTGGCCAATCGCCTCTGGCAAACCGACAAGGCGATTCTTCCAAAGTTTCAAGGTAATTATACAAAAATAAATCCAATACAAGATATTTTTCAAGTCAAGCCGAAAGGTTTCGACAAGAGACCTCACATCGTTTTTCATTTCCTTTGAAGAACGAAGCAATAAGACATTTCGTCACGACAAACATCGCAACAATTCCCATAAAGGATGAATTCCCTTTTTGGGATGCGACGCGCATTCTACCCCCAATCGGGATCGCGGCCTATTGAATGCAATGTGGCCCAGACAGGTGACCTGCGGAAACCACCCCGCCCCCCCCCCCCCGCCGCCCAGCAAACAGTTCTTACCCTCCCAGACGAATCTCGCACCAATTCATTGTCCTCTGAGTGTAGAAAGCTCGCCTGGCCTACACGGAAGCCAATCCATGTGATCCTCAGAACGTGCGTTGGTAGCGGTGCTGTCGCGTACACCACCTCTCCCTCATAGTACGCCATAAGCTCGTAAATGACCCAGAATAGCTATGCGCCGTGACTTCTTACTAGGAAGCGTGTCCCGAGCACTTGCCTTACCTAAGTACATTCAATATAGAAGTAATGATCCTTCTCACTCATCTGAAATTATCCAGCTACATATAAAAAACAGCTGTTTCTGAGCAGGTTCCCGTTGGTCTGCAGCACCGAGTCCAAACTCCATGCTTCTTGCGTCAATAGAAACTGCGTTAATCCTACACATTTCTCGCTTTCTCAAAAAAGTCCCCAAGGAAATTCTCGAAAATCCCGCAGGTAGTTCATGACAAATATATTTATTATGAAGAGCCCGACAAAAATAAGTGTGGTACGTGTAGAAGTTATTTAGAAGCTATTTATAACGAGAAGCTGAAAACGAGAAGTACTGACCTTCAGCTTGCCCTTCATCAGACACTCTTCTATCACATCTGCTGGAGGTTTCCAGTCAATTTTCTAAATCATCAGTATTAACTGCATCCAACAGAGCTATATAAGCATTTTGAGTAACTACGATGGAATTTGCAAGGGCACATTTCTTAAACTCTTGGAGAACTGAAAACACTGTGGCGCTTAGCTTTTTAACAGCTCCACTCTTGAGCAGGTCTGCTCACATCTAAGCGCACGACGATCAAGGCAGATCCCGCCGTCGAATATTCCGCATGAATACTCCCCTCCCCCCCTCTGAAATTCTCCTCCGGTTGATGTAATCCCCTTCCCATCCCACTCACCATCTTCCTAATTTACCCTGACTTTTCACTCCTCTCTAGAAATATTCTCTCGTTTTACCGAAAAAATTACCGTCTTAACGGGGGAGGAAGGAGGCATGAGGGATAGCGCGAGTTGAAACGGCAGAACCAGGAAAAGTCAACTACAGGAACATTTGCCCCAAAAGCAAATGCAACCTCCTCCGTTCATCGAGCCTCATACGACCTCTCTCTCGTCGCGGGGATCCCCAACGTAGAGCTCTAACTACGATACTCAAGAGGTAAAGCACAATAACGGCGTATATTCCTTCAAAACCTTACATTCCCAAGATAATGCATCTGCTGCTTTGAGCGAGTTCTTTCTCTTGCCCTTGCCTATTGCCTTGAGTCCCTACCGCTATATTCTTCAGCGAGGAATAGCTACCGTACATTAACCCTCCGAACTTTTTTGTTTACATTACTGTATGAGTTCGAGAATCATCACAAGTGCATATGTCTGGCAATAATCTGTATACAGTAGGATTATCGGCTCGCGTACTCAAATACTTCACCAGACGCGCACGTACACCAAATATACACTCGATGAGTACGAAAATTTCGTAAATAATCAATAACCAAAGTGAAAAATCAATCAACATCAACAACTTACATGATGAACACTTAGCGTCGTTAGTGAGAGGTTATAGACTGCATTTCTGAAAAGTTGAAATACATTATGTGAACTTGCTTCAAATAATTGACTTTTGTAGTCTTTAATGTGCTTGATACTATATCGATCGACGCTAACTTACACAATCTCTGCGCCATTAGCCATTTATTTACATAATTTATGAGCTCATAAACCTGAATTTATACAGTGAAATGCCAGCAGGGTATATCGAGTAGTGTAGGGTCATCCATGCCTCTACTCGGCTTATGCCAGACCATGCGATAATTAAGCAAATAGACAAATAATGAAGTTAGCATTAGCCGCTCAGACCGCTCCCCAGAATACCACAGGTGTCTTCCGAAAGAAAGAAGTGTGGAAACTATACCAGAACTTATTTCTTGGCAGCGCAAAATGGTCGAAGAAGGGAACCGTTCACAAGGATCCCTCAAGTCCGTCCATTCCTTATATTGTGATTTTATAAAAATTATGTAGAGCAAACATACTGAGCCATAGATTACCAATTCACGTGAATAGCTTTTCATTTGCATTTAATGTTTTATACATGAGGCGAAAGTGGTGTAGAAGCGTGACACTTTCCCGAGCGCGGTCCGGTGGTCATCAAATTCCCGAATAGCCTCTTGCCCGGGCCAACCAAGCCTTTTAGCCTCTGGGGACGGTAAATTGGTACCAGATTCGTCTGGGAGGATAAAACACTGACTTGTACATCGGCTGGCCACCGCAAGTCATTGTATAGGCCACATCGCATTCAATAAGCCACTACGATTCTGAATGGAAGTAGAATGCGTGCCGCATCCCACAAAGGGATTGATCAACGGCGAAGACTTTATCCATTTCCATCTTTTAATTTCATATCCAATATTTTATTTTAACTTATGCAGGTTGAGGAGGTATTAGTGCGCGCTCCTCTCCATTTTCCTCCCTCTCAGCTGTTCTTCTTCTAGCAATGGCACTGTAGAACTGTGAAAGAGCTCATTTCGGAGCCACATCCGATATCACCGGCATTTTGAGTGTTTTCATCGTCGAAGTTTTCGTTAAAAGATTAGCGAGCAAGAATCCTCGGTGCCCGCACAGATGAGTTCAAACCTCAACGAAGCGATAAAATTTAGACATGAAATGGGTGGAAAAGCCGCACAGTGAAAGGATGGGCGACTGTTGAAGGACCCATCTGTCAAATGCTGTCCATCTTTTTTCGTACCACTGGAATGCTCTAAAACAACAGCAATGAAGCCCCTCGCTTGCTCCTGTAAATGCTTGACGGATCTGATCGGAACATCAGCGTCCCATGGGTTTTTGTTGACCATCGAAGCGAACAACGTGCATAACATTCTATCATGAAGAAAATTCTCTGTGTAATATCGCTATCGTATGACATATGCCGATGTTCGCATGACCTGCACCACGCGTACTTCTCATCGCTTTAATAAAACGCCCGCAGCAATTGTTGGACGAAGTGTCCGTCCCGATGGATGTGATGCATACACTTCATAGGATATGACATGTGGCTGGCTGGTTCCTCCCTCCCTATTGAGTGCCAGCTGAGTCGGTCGTATGTCCTCATAAGGCCAGAAAAGCTGTTGCATTTCGTCTGATCTCTGCCTGCGGCCATGCACTTGATGCGCTTTATTCGTACTACAGTAGGGTCCGAAAACGCATTTTGCCTGACAGAAAATTGCGATTGCAAACCACAAGCAACTCATCGTGTCCTTCCCGTAGCGGCCGGTCCGTTTATCCAGGGCGCAGTTCGATCTTCAGAATATACAAACGGTGGCAAACCTACTTGCTGCTGCTCCACGCCTCTCTCCTATCTGATACGATAGCAACTGTGGAAAAACAAAAGAGTCTCACCTTATGTTAGTAAAGTTTACTTACCTATGACCGGGCCTAGCCATCGCTGTTTTACAGCCAACGGGAAAAGTTCGCCCAATAAATTCTCAAATTATGACAAAACCGTGAGCGCTTCTGCCACCAAAAACTTATGCGCTCATCCAATGTGCCGCCGCGGATAGCCCTCCGCTGACTAGGCCATCTTGCGCTTACCTCCCAAAGAAACGAGGTCCGAGGCCTAATAAACCAACGACGCGTACCGGTTGACCAGATTTCAACGCGCAATTTCGAGACGATCCCCGTATAACCGTCTCCGTACAACGGAACATCAACTTTTTTACGCTACTAAATCCTTAATAGCGTGTCGTTCTGGTTAAACGAAATTGGCCGCTTTGGCAAAGGCGTACGAGTACGAGTCTTGGCCACGCCGTACGAATGTAGACCCTAAAAATGTTCAAGGTCTGTGAAAAAAAGCCGAGGCAAGCTCAAAATTTGTATGGCAAAAGCGTGTTTGGGGTAAAGAACTCCGGAGTTAGTAAACCGATTCTCCTGCGAAGAGGTCCCCACTACACTGTGACCCAGCCCTGCATATTGAGCTCTTTAAATGCTCCTAAGCCGAAGTGCCTTGAGATATCTCTCAGAATGAGCACGTCCCGCCGCTGGAGGGGGAATTTCGAAGTACGACTCTCCCAAATCTCTCTCTGATACAACCCTCCTACCAGTTTTTCCAGATTTTCCCGGGCAGGAGGTGGTGTAGTGACAAGTGGTGCGCATACCACTCGCGCGGCCCTGGTTCAAATCCCAGGTCGACTCCGCCCAGGCCAACCAAACCGTCTACCCTCCGAGAACGGCAAATTGATACCAGATTCATCTGAGAGCATAAAAACACTAACATGAACATCGGCTGACCCACATGTCATTGTGTAGGCCACATGCACTCCATAACACGGTGGCGATTCTGAATGGAGGTAGAATGCGTGCCGCATTTCACAAAAAGATTGGTTGACGGGGGAGACTTCATCCTTTTTATCCTTTATCCCGAGAAAATTCTTGTTTTTTCAAAAATTTTGCTTTCGAGCGGGACGTAGCACATGTGAAAGGGAAAAACTGCGAAAAGTCCACAACCGGGAGAATTTTCTCCCAACGGCACAAATTTTCTCTCAAAAGTGAATAGTGACCCCGCATCCCCTCCCCCCAGCGACGCAAAAACGACCCCCCGCGGGATTTCCCAGTATAGGATGTGGTCTTGGCTCAGAATGTGTATTTCACATTCCTCCCGCGCCAGATAATTTCTTATATTGCACGCGGAGATGGCCTTGTTCGAAAGCTGAGGATCCCTAGTATTTCGAAAGAAACTTGTTCAAATCAACGCATCATCGTCTAACTTACTGTGAGTCACAAAAGAGTAATCTGTAATCGAAAAGCCGTCCTTCTTGCGTAACCTTCCGGTCTCGCCAGGGGGCCGTCCGCGATCTATGAGACCGCCGGGTAGTCCCATTGTGGCCTCCACCGGGCATCAACTCCCGTCACTCACATTGTAATTATCCAACAACCGCTCTCTCTCTTCTAACCTTTGGGGGCGCGCGTAGGTGGCGCCAAATTCGATTGATCGACAGCATAAATGGCCCTTGAGAAGCTCGCAGTAGCGTCACGTCTGGGATTTGAATCGAGGCCGAGAGCCTTTTGAATCGGGACCGGACAATCCACCTGCATTAGCAGTAATGGGCGTTTAAACTACTCACATGACTAGCAACTACCATAAACAAGTAAGGGTCCTTTTGACTGACGAGTGGGTGTCACAGTCTGCAAGTTTGCACAGCTTGAAATTAATAGTTATGGTGTAAAATCGCCATGAATACGGTTACTATCCAAACGTCAAATTGCTGGAAACATCCAAGTGTCTGTTTGTGCAGCTATTGAAACGGAATTTTTTTCTCAAACTCCGACAATCCTATATACAATTTCTAAGGGATCCCTCAAAGTGTCTTTGGATTAGCAAGAAGCGATTTTCATTTCTCTCCTCTTTTCTATTTCGGAAAAGCAGTATAAAGCTGTGAAAAGCCTCGATAAAGTATTTTCCAAAACTGAGTGAATAACTCCAAAACCTCTCTTTTTCTGAATAATTTAGTGGGGGATGGGAGGGAGTGTGGGGCCGGGGTAGGAGCGTGTGGAGGGGAACTTTCCACTTGATTTCTGAGACTAATTTGTACAGAGTTTGGATAGGAGTTCTAAGTTTTAGCTGAATGGTCCCGGAATATAGCTATTTCTTAATTCGAAGAATCCTGTTTAGTTTTTAACTCGAAGAATCATTTTTATTTTTCAATCACGGCGAGATGGACGAATCGCTGTCGAACCATGGAATTCAAATAGACCATTAATCAACTCATCACCTCAATCCCTGCACAGACCTCCCTGAACAGTAAATCACTGCGGGTTATCCCTTTTAGGATCGTCAGACCCGGACAATACTGACCTGCCTCCTGCGGTGGCGGCCGATCTGCTATGGACAATACGTTCCGACTTTATGCTAATCACAATGCATGACTGATTACTGAAGCAGGCTGCAGTGGACACCCTCCAGATGCGTCTTACCGTAAGCCCTTTGTGATGTTCCACCTGGAAACATCCGGTATCGAGAAAAGGGCGCTGACGTAGCAGTAGTACGCACTCCAGCATGTTACCTGTCAATAGATGACGGGTCACTGACGTCACGTAACAAGTTAATGACGTGTTTTGAGACGTCGCTGACAATGACACAATGCTGGCTTCTGTGTGACACGCCATCTTTAACATGTCTAATGACATATTACCTCCAAACCCTTAACAGGAAACGGACCTGTGCTAC